CAGTTGTTTCGGTCTTCATTACAGTTTTTCCTCTTCAGTGAAAGGCATAACCATAAAGGTTTAGTTGCAACATTTTGGTTACTAGTGAACGTTATATTGCTTATCTGTCGTTATTATTATTATTATTAGTCAATCAAAATTAACTCCAATATTTCACTTTTTATCACTATAAAGTATATCAAAGAGCCCAATTGGCATCTACTTGAAGCCCGTCACATATGACCTATCGACTAGTTTGAGGTTCAACTTTATCTGTTCCCAATCTAGCTATAAGCCCATACCACTGACAACGGAATGATAGAGAGCTGGGAACACTGTGCTTTACTAAGGCCAATCTTTACTAAAACTCCACTTCCCATAGCTTCAATATAATGCTTTAGCACATTCCTAGCAAACTCATTACCATCCCAACAGCGACACAACTTCACCTTCAAACCATCATTATAATATAGCAACTGACATTATTACAGTGACTAATTTCTATCTTACCACAATCAAACTGAGATTTCCGCAAGGTTAGGATGTCAAGGGACTACATATCCTAATAGCTTGTTGGATCATTGTAATATGCCTACTGAAGCAATCCGTCAATGTAATAGCTACTAGTCAAGAATAGGTTGATCAAGGAGCTAGTTAATCATAATAAAAACTCATGATCCGTTATTATTACCGAGATCAAACAGAATTATAATAAACTGCACCGCATAAATATTTTAATAGATTTCTCAGACTTATTTATTACGTGAATCATTGTTAATTATGAACTTATGAATTCTTAAAACACGTCTAGTTATTTCTTCAAAGCACTTCAATTAAAAGTACCTATTTATAAGTCTGAAATCTTATTTCACATTGAAGAAGTTCGTCTATTGTATTATGGCTGTCTACAAAAGTATGTGCATTTTGAAAAGCTATTATTATCAGTATTATTCGTCCCTTGGATTCCTAGTCAAACATAGCGCCTGAGTAGCACGTCTCCATTCCACTCTCTTCTCTGCAATCTTCTAAACCTACCTCCACAACAGCCTACAAGCTCTCATTTATTCCTCACACAATCTCCTCCATGTCACATACCCCCTCGGACACCCTACTCGTCGTTTCCCATCTCGCTTCCAATCAACTGCCTGGCCTGACCTGGTGCGTGATATCCCCAAATGGTCTTCTCACTGCATGCCCAATCCATCTCCACTTCCTTCCACTGCATATTTGTTCACCGATACGTTCTAGGTTGGTTCGTTGCCAGTCAGCCAGCAAGAGTTCCTCCTTGCTTATTCATTCTGACCATCTGAGCTTCTGTAATCAGCCAGTGTAGGCACCTGTGGATGAATGTCTGTGGTTTGTTGGTTATGCATTTCGTAACGCGCCAAGCCTCTCAACCATATACAACCACTGACTTGACTGACATTCGTGTTGAAAATCTGGATGTTGTTCAGGCATTTTGCTGAGTGTAGAAGATCTCCACACTAGTTTCAGGTTAATCAACGCCTGTCTTGTTGTCTTTCCAATCCTGGATGGATTTGAAGTCCTCGTCTGTGCCTGTGCCGCCTGTAGTTGTAACGATACTGCCTAGGTAGGTAGGTAGGTAGGTAGGTAGTTAGGTAGGTAGGTAGGTAGGTAGGTGGGTAGGTAGGTAGGTAGGTAGGTAGGTAGGTAGGTAGGTAGGTAGGTAGGTAGGTAGGTGGGTAGGTAGGTAGGTAGGTAGGTAGGTAGGTAGGTAGGTAGGTAGGTAGGTAGGTAGGTAGGTAGGTAGGTAGGTAGGTAGGTAGGTAGGTAGGTAGGTAGGTAGGTAGGTAGGTAGGTAGGTAGGTAGGTAGGTAGGTAGGTAGGTAGGTAGGTAGGTAGGTAGGTAGGTAGGTAGGTAGGTAGGTAGGTAGGTAGGTAGGTAGGTAGGTAGGTAGGTAGGTAGGTAGGTAGGTAGGTAGGTAGGTAGGTAGGTAGGTAGGTAGGTAGGTAGGTAGGTAGGTAGGTAGGTAGGTAGGTAGGTAGGTAGGTAGGTAGGTAGGTAGGTAGGTAGGTAGGTAGGTAGGTAGGTAGGTAGGTAGGTAGGTAGGTAGGTAGGTAGGTAGGTAGGTAGGTAGGTAGGTAGGTAGGTAGGTAGGTAGGTAGGTAGGTAGGTAGGTAGGTAGGTAGGTAGGTAGGTAGGTAGGTAGGTAGGTAGGTAGGTAGGTAGGTAGGTAGGTAGGTAGGTAGGTAGGTAGGTAGGTAGGTAGGTAGGTAGGTAGGTAGGTAGGTAGGTAGGTAGGTAGGTAGGTAGGTAGGTAGGTAGGTAGGTAGGTAGGTAGGTAGGTAGGTAGGTAGGTAGGTAGGTAGGTAGGTAGGTAGGTAGGTAGGTAGGTAGGTAGGTAGGTAGGTAGGTAGGTAGGTGAAAGAGGATACTTCCTTTAAGTTTCTCCCGTTGATAGTGATTGGAGCTCATAGTTGTTCTTGGTGGTGGTGGTGGTCGTGTTGGTTGGGTATCATCATCACCTCTATCTTCTCTACGTTCACCTGAAGGAAGTTCCGTCTTCCTTCACTGCCTCGCCTCACCTCTTCTGTCAACTTGTTAGTTTTCGCCTGTACATCATCAACTTTGTGCAACAAGACATTACACCCAAGTCATTGCCGGCGAAATCCAAATCTTGTAGGATCTTTTCCCCGGTAAAGCTAACGTATCCCCCTCTTCTCGCTCCTCACTGTTTGTTGCATGATCCAGTCCAGTCGAGTCGACCGAGACCAGGAATATCATTGGTGATAGTAGTCAGTCTTGCTTGACTACTGTCTTCACTTCAAAAGCACCACTGGGCTTCCCATTGTGAATTACTTCGCATGTGGCGTTGTTGAATGAGATTGATAAAAGTATGTGGCATTCCGTAGTGATGAAACAACTGCCAAATTACTTCTAGGTCGACGCTGTCAAAGGCCTTCTCAAAGTCGATGAAGTTGAGGTAGAGGGTTGACTGCCATTCTATACTCTGTTCTATAATGATGCGAAGCGTTGCAATTTGGTCCACACATGACTTGTACTTCCTCAATCCAGCCAGCCAGCCTGTCCCGGTAGTAGTTTTGAATCCAGAGCATCATCTACCCTCTCCAGGATGACGCGGCTTAATATTTTGCTTGGGGTGGACAGGAGAGTGATTCTGCGCCAGCTCCTGCAAACACTTAGGTCACCAATCTTCAGAAGTTTGAGAAGATAGCCTTCCTTCCAATCTGCCGGTACCTTTCCTTCCTTCCAGACCTCCTGCAATGCTGGTGTGAACATGTCCGCTGTTGTCTCTGCATTCGCCCTCAGTGCTTCTGGTGGAATTTCATCTGCTCGTGCCGCTTTCACGCATTTCAGTAGGTTTAGTGTTAGGGTTCTAGATAGTGGTCTGAGCCTACATCTGCTCCTCTCCTTGACCTCGTGTCAAGTAGGCTGCGTCTCCACTTCCTTCACATTCAGATGAAGTCCATCTCATTTTTAGTCTGTCCTCGTGTCTGGTGAAATCCATGTCGCTCACTTTGTGTATATCCTTGTGTTTGAACACACTGCCTCACTCCAATCACCAAATCGTTGAATGCACACAATTCTGCAAACAATTCTCCATTCTCATTCATTTCACCAAGTGCTTCTCGACTCATGATGAGTTCCTTTCCTGTGTTGTATGCTCCCCACAGTTTGCCATTCATGTCGCCCCATCCATCAGAAGTTTGATGTCGCCAACTGAGGCGGGGTCTTCTCCACTACTGATTGCAGTTGTCTGTAGAATTCCTCCTTCTTCCCTTCATCTACATTATTTGTGGGTGAGTAGTGTAGCACTGAATAACTGTGACTTTCCTTCATTTCGAGTTGAATCTTGTTGTCATGATCGTGATGCTTGAGGAGATTGGTTCCCACTGTATGAGAGAGGACCTTCAATGCTCTTGAGGACATGATGACAGCCACCCCATAACTCAGTGTGCTCGTGGTTGTCGTCTGGATGACGATATTGGAGTAGATTATTCACTCGTCTGTAGTTGACAGTTTGGAGAGTTCACTTCCATTCCACCTACTTCTGCACATTCCTAACACTTCATTGCTATACCCTCTCATCTCGTTTGCAATCTGGGCAGCCTTGCTAGGTTCAAACATGATGGGGACATTCCATGTCCCCATTCTTACTTTCGCTTTTATGTAGAGAATGGAAGACACATGGGGTAATTGGCTTCCCGAAGTCTTTCACCAACCGGCATCATTTTGTCTCTCCGATTCCATCGAGGAATTAGTTTTTCTTTTTTATGTTTGATATTTTGTTTGTGGTTTGAAGTTTGTTTAGTGGTTAGATTGATTTTAGTGGTAGAGTTGCTATCACTGTGCCAAAGCTTCCCTCTGTATCGGGGCTTAGGATCGGCTAGTAGTTAACCAGACGAGGTTAGATTCCTCGATACTGCATGAATATTCATTTTATATTACTGAAGTTGGTGGCTAGCAGTAGAATACAGGATACAAGTTTTCTCCTGTTCTGGACATGTCAGTTGGATGCTCCACCCCTTTAGAGAATCACTTCAAACATCAGAGCCTTATACATTAATTTACTGATGGATGGAAAACACTGCTTGTGTAACAGATATCAGGAGTTGTTCGTTGATACTTTTTAATTCCCTGTACTATGCTAGATCGAATTGTTCAACTTCAAAACCTTAGTAAACAAGTAGATAACACTCTGAAGTTTGAAGTGATAAATACTAAGTTAAATTTTCAATAGGAATAGTCTCACTCACTGGAATTCATCATTATTCAACTGATAACTCTTAAATAGAAGGAAAAAAGAAAACATTAACCCTGAACTCGACTGCTAACCACGAAATAGACTAAATAAAAACTATGTATATCTTTTCTAAAGTATTCTACTAATATTATATTGCAGTTTGATTGGATTTTACTGTTACTAATAGTAACAATGACCTGAAATCACTTTTGAATTAAAATTTTACCTTTTATATAAATAAGTTTCATTAATATTGATAAATGAATAAAATATTAAAATAATTTCTATAAGAGAATGAATAATTTTTTATCTTTTCAAAATATTTTTAATGAACTAAATGAAATGAATGATGAAGAATTGAATCAATTGATAGAATGTTTCCCAAATGAAGCTGAAGACTTTATAATACATATTAGAAATTCGAATGAAGTTTATGAAAGTAAAAGGAATCAACAACGAAATATTAAAACAAAATGTTATAAACTTATATCTGATTATAATATTGAATTACCATCATTTTATCAATCTACAACATATAGAAGTACATATTGTCATAATAATAATAATAATAGTAATAATAATAATTATAATGATAATGAAAATAATTCAAAGATAATAAAATATGAACCTGTATTACGATTTAGTGAAATGCCTGTCTTCACAGACTCAATTTTATATCCTGATCAAAGTCGTAGATTACAGAGTACAACACATGAAACATTTATTGAAAAGCCAGTAAGTTATAATTTTCATATTTTCAATAATAAAGTATTGAAGTACTAGATACTTAATTGTTCATTATACTAATGTATATATTCAAAGTATATTCATATATATATATCTATATATATATATATATTATTCTATATTTTAAAGGGATTACAGTATCTGAATATTTGGCTGTATAACTATTAACTCAGTTTCATATATGAATAGTTCACAGAGAGTTTAACATTATCTGTCAAAGGTATGCATATTACCAGTTTATGTTGTTAGTTTAGACGTGAAACGAAGTAACAACAACAGTAAGTATATTATATGATATATAAACTTCATTATTTTATGCTATTAACAAGCTAATAATTATCTCAGTTTAATGTTTATCGTCTGAAAAATCCCCTGAAAACTTTGGAGGACTAAATAGCCGCTTTGTCCTAGTATTGTACTACTCAGTAGTATACACCTACAAGTTTCTATATATCGGATCGTGGGAAGCTGTTTAGTGCGCTAACATTTCATAGGGTTCTGTGATTGATATCATTCTATGATGAATAATACATGACAATTGATCAATCCCAACCTCGCCTGGTTAACTAGTTTACTAGTTACTAGCCGGTCTTAAGCCCACAAAAAGAGGGAAGGTTGGGCATAGGGCTAGCAACCCTACCCCGTAAAACAAATCTAACCGCTAAACAAACTTCAAAGCACAAACAAAATATAAAAAATGAAAACAAACTTATTCCCCGCTGGAATCGGAGAGGCGAAATGACGCCAGTTGGTGAAAGCCTTCGGGAAGACAATTGGCCGATGTGTCTTCTCTCCCTCGATGAAAGCGAAAGTAAACATGGGGACATGGAATGTCCGCACGATGTCTGAACCCAGTAAGGCAGCCCAGATTGCAAAGGAGATGAGAAGGTATCACATCGAAGTGCTTGGGATTTGCGAAAGCAGATGGAATGGGAGTGGACTCTCCAAACTGTCAACTGGAGAACCAATAATCTACTCCGGTCACCCAGACGCCAACCACGAGCACACTGAGTTATGGAGTGGCTATCATGATGTCCTCAAGAGCATCGAAGGCTCTCATGCAGTGGGAACCAATCTCCTCCAGCATCAGGATCATGACAGCAAGATTCAACTCAAAAGGAAGGAAGGAAGGTCACAATCATACAATGTTATGCACCTACAAATAATGCAGATGAAGAGAAAAAGGAGCATTTCTACAGACAACTTCAATCAACACTGGACAAGACGTCAGTTGGCGATATCAAAATTCTAATGGGCGACATGAATGCCAAACTGGGAGAGGACAACACGGGAAGAGAACTAACCATGGGTTGAGAAGCGCTCGGTGAGGTGATGAACGAGAGTGGAGAATTGTTTGCAGAATTCTGTGCATTCAACGATTTGGTGATTGGAGGCAGTGTGTTCAGGCACAAAGATATCCACAAAGCGACATGGATTTCACCAGATGGACACACTAAAAATCAAATCGACTTTATCTCAATCTCAAGAAAATGGAGACGCAGTCTACTTAACACAAGGTCAAGAAGAGGAGCAGATGTAGGTTCAGACCACTCACTATCTAGTGCAAGGAACCTACCTTCCAAATCAAGTTAAAAGCCTTCAAGGAAGCTGGTGATAGACCTCAACCCAAGTACAACACTCGGAGACTGAAGGATGAAACTACAAAGGAAATCTTCAAGGCAGCCATCAAGACAAAATGGGAGACATCGAGGGACATCCCTGAAGAAACCTGTGTGGAAGAACACTGGAAGTCTTTGAAAGCTATGTGGAAAGAAACCTGCACAACAGTATTAGGAAGGAAGAAGAAAGAAGACAAGGAATGGATCTCGACGGATACCTGGAAGCTGATGGAGGAGGGAGAGGAGGATGGTGAAGCAGAAGATAAACCAGTGCAAGGATGCTCAACGACAAGAGGAACTGAGCACAATGTATAAAACACTGGACAAAGAAGTGAAGAAGAGTGCACGCAAAGACAAAAGACACTTCAACGAAACCCTGGCAAGTGAAGCAGAACAGGTTGCAGGTAAGAGAGAAAGAGACCTGACAACATTGTATCAAATAACCATGTTACCCTCTGGTAGGGAAGAGATCAACGCAGATGAGACCAATAAAAGATGATGAAGGAAATTTAATTACAAAAGAAGAGAAACAGAGGAAACGATGGGCCGACCACTTCAAAAAGCTCTTGAATCGACCACCACCACCACCTGCACTTCGTCCAGAAATACCACCTGCAGCCGCTGAATTACAAGTGAACATAAATCCCCCAACGAAAATGGAAGTCCTGAACGCCATAAAGCTACTGAAATGCGGGAAAGCAGCAGGACCAGATGGAATACCGCCAGAAGCACTGAGAACAGATGCAGAGACAACAGCGGACATGCTCACACCACACCACTATTGCAGAAGGTGTGGAAGGAAGAGAAGGTACCTGACGATTGGAAGAAGGGTTACCTTGTCAAACTGCCAAAGAAGGGAGACCTCAGTGCTTGCAAGAACTGGCGCGGAATCACTCTCCTGTCCACCCCAAGTAAAATATTAAGCCGCATCATCCTGGAGAGGCTTAAAGATGCACTGGATTCAAGACTATGCCCGAAAAAGGCAGGTTTCAGGAAGTATAAATCATGTGCAGACCAAATTGTAACGCTTCGCATCATCATAGAACAGAGCATAGAATGGCAATCAGCTCTATACCTCAACTTCATCGACTTTGAGAAGGCCTTTGACAGCGTCGACCGAGAAGTAATTTGGAAACTGCTTCACTACTACGGAGTACCGCAAAACTGCATCCGCCTCATTCAACAACTGTATTAAGACGCCACATGCCAAGTAATCCACAATGGGAAGCTCAGTGATACTTTTGAAGTGAAGACAGGAGTCAAGCAAGACTGACTACTATCCCCCATGATATGATATGATATAAGCGAGAAGAGGGGGATACACTGGCTGGACTGCGGAAAAGAACCTAGAAGATCTGGATTTCGCCATCGATGACTTGTGCCTGATGTCACATAAACTTGAAGATCTGCAGCCGAAAACTAACAAATTGATAGAAGAGGCAGCGAAGACGGGACTTCCTTCAGGTGAATATAGAGAAGACAGAAGTGATGAAGATACCGCACCACCACCACCACCACCATCAACAACAACAACAAACTCCAATCACCGTCAACGGGAGAAACTTAAAGGAAGTAACCTCCTTCACTTATCTAGGAAGCACTGTTTCAACTACAGGCGGGACGGACGAGGACGTCAAAGTCAGAATCGGAAAAGCAAGACAGGTGTTCATTAGCCTGAAACCAGTGTGGAGATCTTCTGCACTCAGCATACAGCGTGAACAAGATACGGATTTTCAACACCAACGTCAAGTCAGTGCTCCTGTATGGTTCAGAGACTTGGCGCGTCACGAAAGTCATTTCCAATAAACTACAGACATTCATCAACAACTGCTTACGCTCGCTACTGAAGATCAGATGGATTGCCAGAAAGAATAAGCAACAAGGAGCTCTGGCTGGTGAAGAACCAACCAAGAACCTATCACAACAAATATGCAGGAAGAAGTGGAGATGGATTGGGCATGCACTGAGAAGGCCGACTGAGGACATCACAAGTCAGGCCAGGTACTCGAGTGGAATCCCCATGGGAAGCGACGAGTTGGACGTCCCATCTGAGGGTGACATGGAGGAGATCGTGCGAGGAGGAAAACAGAGCTTATGGGCTGTCGTGAGACCAGGTTCAAAAGATCTCAGACAACAGAGGTCACTGGAGGCGTGCTACTGAAACCCTATGTTCCACTAGGAACCCAAGGGACTAATAATAATAATAAAATAATAATTGATCAATCCCTACAAATCCCTAAAGTGAATTAATAATTGTCTATTTTGACAGTTCAGCTTATATACTCATAAGTATCTTATTGCAAAACTGCAAATGAATGAGATAGATAATCTAATATTTAAGTGAAAAAAAGATTTATCGATTCAGTTTTCGTTCAATGAACAGTTAAGGTTACAACTTTACTGCTCAACTCTAAATTTATGACTAATTGTTTGAAGATTGACTATCTAAATCATTCACTTACAGCCTTATATATCATAGTAGAATAAAGAATGAAGTAGCTTAATTGGTTTTTTTGGGAGATTGATTGCTTTCAGGATAGTTTCACGCATAGATCGACATTAGTTGGGGAATCACTGAAATGGGCGTAAACATTGCACAGCTGTTTTGTCCAAGTTTGTAATTCTTCTTCGATTCCCCATACTTTGGTGGATCCACTCTGTTGACTAGCTGTAAACCCTTAAAGCCTTTTTCATTTTGTTATCTTACCGCCTTTTCCACTTATCAAGAAATTGAGACACTATCAAGGGGTTGAATCTGAAAGTTAATGTACAAGCGTTCACTTATATACAACTTAGGAATTATTTTAAAACCTATACAAGCACCGACTGAAAACAACTTAAGTGGATTTCTTTATTTTCACTGGAAATTGAGTTTTTAACATACAATATATAACTCTAATTGTCTTAGCGACCTTCAGTGTCACTTCCAAAATGTCATTTTCCGTATTAAATTAATTTGTTCGATACAGTACACTTTACTTGATGACGTTTTAGTCACAAGTTATTTATTACACACAACTAACTCAAAGTAATCACATAACTTCCAAAAACTGATTCCTATGGCTGTGAAACATGTCCATTGAAGGTGGAAGACATGAGAAGACTTCAGGCGTTTGACCACAGTTGCCTTCGAAGTATAGGACGTATTCCGTGGTGTCACCACGTGAGTAACGCAGAAGTCAGGAGTCGAGTTTTAGGGAGAAGGGATAAGTCGGTTAACGAGGTTATGAACCTTGATCGACTGAGATGGTTGGCTGCAACACGTATTACATATGCCTAGTCACCGATTGCCTTGTCACACAATGTTGGCCGAAGTAGGTGCAGGCTGGAAAAAGGCTGAAGGTGGCCAGATTAAAACATGGTACCAATGTATGAAGTGTTTGACTGTTGGTTTGAGTCATGTGCGGCGATGTAGACTAGGTGGTTGGGATCCGCGGGAAAAGATGAATCAGTGGTTGGAGACTCTAGGTGATATGGCTCACAACCGACGTCACTGACACTGATGTATACATACATTATCCTCATCTTAACGACACTATACCGAGTTTCACCATCTTCTCATTCTTCCTTTCTCTCTTTTCGTACTTCATATTTCTTCTGACTGCATTCTCTTATCTTCATCTTTCACCTCACTACCTTTTTACTTGATGCAGTGATATGAGGTGTGGCAACTCGTACTGTTACGCAGTAATGCCTGGTCCTTGTTTGGTCTGGATGGATGGTCACATTTTATTATTTGTTTTAGATGGTAGTAAACATTATTCCACTTCTGCTGTATATGCGCTGTGTTTAGTGATCTCTGAAATAAAGATTCGGTAATCTCTCTCTCTCCCTCTCTGACTAACTAACTAGGTTAGACTTTAGTACAGTTTGTAGTGGACCCAAAGAAATTTTAAGATAAGTCTAAGTAACAAAAATAGATTCCATTATACACAAATATAAAACGTTATAATATGAAGTAGTAATATAAGTGTTATGGAAAATAAATTGGTTACTTGAATCTTATCCCTTTGGTACCGTTCACCACAATTTACTATACTCTAATATTAGTTCAGAAGGCGATAAACGTCACAGCTCCAACGTTGTTTGGCTTGATTATCGTGATATTTGAAAGTAGGATGAGAAGTCCTGTTAAATTCATGGGAAATTAATGAATATTCAAATCAGACAATAGTTAATGGAGGCAGAAGTTGGAACGGATAGAAGCACACTAGATTTCCACATGTGAAAGCAGAAGCAAAGTAAGTACGCTATAAACAACATTCATTTTTACAAGAATTCAGAAGAAGGTACAAAATGTATAAAAAGATGATAAAAAGGAAACACTATTTTTAATTTGAGTGGTTTGTATATAATTTCCTGAAGTCTCCACAAGTTGCTTTATCCCATCCTGTTGTGCGGTTGAATCGCTGCATGAATTCCTATGGCTGTGTTTTTGTCAAACTGATGATATTGATGGGGTTTATCATTCTACACTTAGATAAATTCCTATGCTCCTATAATCCAACAGAGGCCGATTGGCTGTTTTAACCTATGTATGTAATCTCACGGTCACTGTGATGTATTCGACCTAACAAAGACAAAAGTGATTTCATGGAACTATAGAAATCTAACAAACTAATCATCAAGAATTCCTCTTCATGTGATAATCTCTACCTAATGACTCCCGCTCGATCATGCAACAGAATGTGAGGAGCGAGAAGAGGGAGATACGCTAGCTGGACCGAGGAAAAGAACTTAGAAGATTTGGATTTCGCCGCCGATGGCCTGTGTCTAATGTCTTGTTACGCAAAGTTGATGATATACAGGCAAAAACTAACAAGTTGACAGAAGAGGAGAGGCGAGGTAGTGAAGGAAGACGGAACTTCAGGTGAACGTAGAGAAGATAGAGGTGATGATGATACCCAACCGACGCCACCACCACCAAGAACAACAATGAGCTCCATTCACTATCAACAGGAGGAACTTAAAGGAAGTATCCTCTTTCACCTATCTACCTACCTACCTACCTACCTAGGCAGTATCGTTACAACTACAGGTGGCACAGGCACAGATGAGGATGTCAAATCCATCCAGGATTAGAAAGACAACAAGACAGGCGTTGATTAACCTGAAACTAGTGTGGAGATCTTCTGCACTCAGCAAAATGCCTGAACAACATCCAGATTTTCAACACCAATGTCAGTCAAGTCAGTGGTTGTATATGGTTGAGAGGCTTGACGCGTTACGAAATGCATAACTAACAAACCACAGACATTCATCCACAGGTGCCTACGCTGGCTGATTACTGAAGCTCAGATGGTCAGAATGAATAAGCAGGGAGGAACTCTTGCTGGCTGACTGACTGACTGGCAACGAACCAACCTTGGACCTATCACTGAACAAATATGCAGTGGAAGGAAGTGGAGATGGATTGGGCATGCAGTGAGAAGGCCATTTGGGGATATCACGCACCAGGCACTCGAGTAGAACTCAGATGGGAAACGACGAGTTTAGCTTGTGAGGGTGACATGGAGGAGATGATATGAGGAATAAATGAGAGCTTGTAGGCTGTTGCGGAGCCAGGTTTAGAAGATTGCAGAGAAGAGAGTGGAGTGGAGACGTGCTACTGAAGCTGTATGTTCCACTAGGAACCCAAGGGACAAATAATAATATATAAATGACTCCTGTCCAATTCACTTCCAAAACAAAACTAAGAATCTGATATTATTACTCATTATATCTTCATGATTTCGCTATGTTCAGTATGTTCAGTAGATACAGTGCATCCTGAAATATCAATATTTATACATCTTTGGATTTAATATCTAATCTCATATTAAATTATTTTCAGATTCACCACAATGAACCAGCGAAACCCACACCAACAAATCTTCGCATTGAAGGCGAACGCGAGTTTACAACTACGAATAAAGCAGCTTACACCGTCAAGGCAATTACTGGACGTCCAGCACGCAGACCAAAGGTAAGTTGTTACATGGTAGACTTTGCTGTTATAACGACGTTTGAACTGGTATACATATTTAAACTAGTGTGCAGATCGGCATACTTGCTGGATAACTTGGAGGCCGCCAACTGGAATCCTATTGTCAGATGAGTTTTCCAAAAAATTCTGTTTTCATTTAAAGATGACTGACTTTCTAGTAAAGAAACTTATCTTCACAATACTAAATAACAGTTAGTGGTCAAAGTCGTAGGCAATATTGACTCCAAAGTCAAATATGAACGAAGCATATTCTAGTTACAGTAAAGATGGATAGTAGCTAGCAGTGGGATCTAAGATGCGCAATAGAGATTGATCAGTTCAGTCCAATAAAAAACGGTATAATAATGACACTGAAACTATACCCGTCGCACAAGAAGTGGCTATCGTGGCTCCGTAGGGTAGTGGATAACGCGCTGGCGTTTGAAGCGATCGCTCCTCAGTCCAAATCCCGATGGGAACAATATCACTCACCGGGAGGCAGGTATGTCCGGCTGATGAGTCCCAAATAGGACGAAATGCGCATCCTGAATTCCACTGCTAGCCGCTATCCATCTTTACTATAACTAGAACACAAGTATATCGATGCATCCGCACAGGAGCCCATATGCCAATAGACACCGACCAATTCTGTTCAATCAAATACAGGCAATAACACTGAAGAATATTCTTTTCAATAACTTCTCATCAGGCTCTACAGTTATAAAAACAATTTCATTAACATATTAATAGCTAGAATTTAGGGCGAATGGATTTAGGAATAGGTATGGAATTATGACTACAATTATATTATGATAAATTGGTTGGTTGTGGCTAGGAGAAGAATCCAGGACGCGCGTCTCGTCCTATCCGAAACTCGTCAACTGGATGCACCTGCACCCTAGTGATGTTGTTCCCACTGAGACTCAAAACTCGTACCCATCGCTTCAAACGCCAAGGCGCTTTCCACTATGCCACGGAGGAACGATAGCCACTTCTTGTACAACGGGTAGTAGTTATTACTATTTATTGACATACTTGTTATTCTCCGTTATTTTAATGGGTAGAATTGTTCGACCTCTATTGGTATATGGGCTCCTATGTGGATACCTCGATAGTACCTGAATGTTAATTATGATAAATTGGTTGGTTGTGGCTAGTAGAAGAATCCAGGACCAACCAATTTATCGTAATTAACATTCAGGTAATATCGAGGTATCCGCATAGGAGCCCATATGCCAATAGAGGTCGAACAATTCGATCCAACAAAACAACGGAGAATAACAAGTATGTCAATAAATAGTCATACAATTATATTGCTTAAATTTGTTGATGGTCGTGTAATAGACCAAGCCCATCTGTATCGAAGATATGTTGACGATATCCTGATTATTTGTGAAAACTCAAATCAGGCTACTTCAATCCTAAACCGACTGAACGAAGTACCGAACTGCATATCTTTGACATGTGTAAGAGAGGAAAATGACTGCTTGCCGTTCCTAGATATATTAATTAGTCGAAGGCAGGATCGATCCATAAAACGATCTATCTACAGAAAACCTATATGGACAGGGCAATATCTGAATTACCATAACTTTTGCCCAGTTCAGTACAAGCGAACATTAGTAAGGTGCTTATTCAGTAGAATTTAACGAATATGCACCGAGGATACTTTAGAAGATGAAAGAGGAACACTGACCGATATTTTGTTGGAAAATAACTATCCATCAACATTTATCAGGCAGAACAAAATTACCAGAGCGTCAAAACTAGAACTGCAGTCAGTCCCAAAGAAGGATGTCTTCATCAGCCTTCCGTACAAAGGTGACTCTCAGAGTGCAATCCTTAAGCAGAGACTTAACGCTGCTGTTAGAAGGACCTACAATGCAGCCAGCGTTCGAGTAATCCAAACCACGAAGCCCGTATATTCCCCCAAACCCCCACAGCATGTGAACGATAATGTCACATCCCATTGTATCTACCAATTCAAATGTACGTGTGGTGACACATGCATAGGGAGGACTAATAGATCCATGCAAGTAAGGGCCTCGGAACATATTCCAAAGTGGCTTCACAAGCAAATTAAATCACCTGAATCTATAAATGTTGGTAGCAGACGTCCAAGTTCTTCGATCGCCAAACATATCATTGAGACAGGTCACAAGATTGATGTGGCTACTTCCTTTACACCTATTTATTACAAAACATGTTGGGGAGGGATCCTGAAATTTGTTGAAGCCTTAGCTATTAGGAAGTTGAAACCACCTTTATGTGTTCATAAACAATTTGTTGTCACATTAAACCTTCCTTGGTAAATTCAACTATTGAAAAACCAAGTTCGATGTACTATTATTTTTTCGCTCTATTGATTTTCATTGTTATTCGGCCTTTAAGTCAGCCTTCCTACCTGACCCCTTTTTATTTTCTCACTCCTTATCTTCATGAGTTTTTATATAAATACCTATGACAAGTACGTGTGTGATCAGATAGCTTGAAATGTGTTGCGCAAATACATTACACGGTTCAGACAATTTACGTCTTCTTATTGTTTTGTCGAAGTTTATAAAGGGAACTAATTGCTTTAAATTTATGTATGTATATCAGTTGCGGTGATGAGTTGAGTATAAACTTTATCAATTGATTAATGATCAGATGTATGGGGAAGGAAAAATAAGAATAATGTTCAAAGATGCAGTGTGTCGAGTGAGTGATTAGTATAAAGAATGATGACATGAATTCACCTAAGCGCAGATATGGAGTGGATATGTCATCATAAGATAGTCAATAACCTCGCCTGGTTAACTAGTTTACTAGTTACTAGCCGGTCCTAAGCCCGGGTAAAGAGGGAAGGTTGGGCATACACCTAGCAACCCTACCCCGTAAAACAAATCTAACCGCTAAAGAAACTTCAAAGCACAAACAAAATATAAAAATTGAAAACAAACTTATTCCCCGCTGGAATCGGAGAGGCGAAATGACGCCAGTTGGTGAAAGCCTTCAACAAGCCGATTGGCCGATGTGTCTTCTCTCGATGAAAGCGAAAGTAAACGTGGGGACATGGAATGTCCGCACCATGTTTGAACCCAGTAAGGCAGCCCAGATTGCAAAGGAGATGAGAAGGTATCACATCGAAGTGCTTGGGATTTGCGAAAGCAGATGGAATGGGAGTGGACTCTCCAAACTGTCAACTGGAGAATCAATAATCTACTCCGATACTGTCACCCAGACGACAACCACGAGCACACTGAGTTATGGAGTGGCTATCATGATGTCCTCAAGAGCATCGAAGGCTCTCATGCAGTGGGAACCAATCTCCTCCAGCATCAGGATCATGACAGCAAGATTCAACTCAAAAGGAAGGAAGGAAGGTCACAATCATACAATGTTATGCACCTAAAAATAATTCAGAGCAAGAGAAAAAGGAGGATTTCCACAGACAACTTCAATCAACACTGGACAAGACGTCAGTTGGCGATATCAAAATTCTAATGGGCGACATGAATGCCAAACTGGGAGGGGACAACACGGGAAGAGAACTAACCATGGGTCGAGAGGCGCTAGGTGAAATGAATGAGAATGGAGAATTGTTTGCAGAATTCTGTGCATTCAACGATTTGGTGATTGGAGGCAGTGTGTTCAGGCACAAGGATATCCACAAAGCGACATGGACTTCACCAGATGGACACACTAAAAATCAAATCGACTTTATCTCAATCTCAAGAAAATGGAGACGCAGTCTACTTAACACAATGTCAAGAAGAGGAGCAGATGTAGGTTCAGACCACTCACTATCTAGTGCAAGGAACCTACCTTCCAAATCAAGTTAAAAGCCTTCAAGGAAGCTGGTGATAGACCTCAATTCAAGTACAACACTCGGAAACTGAAGGATGAAACTACAAAGGAGATCTTCACGGCAGCCATCAAGACAAAATGGGAGATATCGAGGGACATCCCTGAAGAAACCTGTGTGGAAGAACACTGGAACTCTTTGAAAGAGATGTGGAAAGAAACCTGCACAACAGTATTAGGAAGGAAGAAGAAAGAAGACAAGGAATGGATCTCGACTGATACCTGGAAGCTGATAGAGCAGGGAGAGGAGGATGGTGAAGCAGAAGATAAACCAGTGCAAGGATGCTCAACGACAAGAGGAACTGAGCACAATGTATAAAGCACTGGACAAAGAAGTGAAGAAGAGTGCACGCAAAGACAAAAGACACTTCTACGACACACTGGCAAGTGAAGCAGAACAGGCTGCAGGTAAGAGAGACCTGACGACATTGTATCAAATAACCAGGTTGCTATCAGGGAAGAGACCAACACAGATGAAACCAATAAAAGATGAAGAAGGAAATTTAATTGCGAAAGAAGAGAAACAGAGGAAACGATGGGCCGACCACTTCAAAAAGCTCTTGAATCGACCACCACCACCACCTGCACTTCGTCCAGAAATACCACCTGCAGCCGCTGAATTACAAGTGAACATAAATCCTCCAACGAAAATGGAAGTCCTGAACGCCATAAAGCTACTGAAATGCGGGAAAGCAGCAGGACCAGATGGAATACCGCCAGAAGCACTGAGAGCGAATGCAGAGACAACAGCGGACATGCTCACACCACTATTGCAGAAGGTGTGGAGGGAAGAGAAGGTACCTTCCAGTTGATTGGAAGAAGGGTTACCTTGTCAAACTGCCGAAGAAGGGAGACCTCAGTGCTTGCAAGAACTGGCGCGGAATCACTCTCCTGTCCACCCCAAGTAAAATATTAAGCCGCGTCATCCTGGAGAGGCCTAAAGTTGCACTGGATTCAAAACTGCGACCGGAACAGGCAGGCTTCAGGAAGTACAAATCATGTGCAGACCAAATTGCAACGCTACACTGAGCATCATCATAGAACAGAGCATAGAATGGCAATCAGCTCTATACCTCAACTTCATCGACTTTGAGAAGGCCTTTGACAGCGTCGACCGAGAAGTAATTTGGAAACTGCTTCAATACTACGGAGTA